ATTATATTTGTAATTAAATTATTAGATTACACACAGTGTTTATATATTAAAAAAATAAATAGCTAAGTCAAAAATATGGTAAAAAATTAAAATCAAATATTGTGTTCACCACTTTGTTGTATGAGCCAAATGTATAGCCAATATAGTAATTCCCACATATGAAATATAATAACTAATCATGATATAAATAGTATTTACCTTAACAAAATATTGAGTTCTAGTTCATTCCCAAATGTATCTAGAGATGGAATACCATCAATTCTAATTTGGTTTATTTTATCTTTTAGATTTTGGTCAGTAGATAATTGTGGATACCGTTCAGCTAAAATTTCCAATATATTTGGTTGTCTTATAAAAGCGACCACTTTTTCATTATAGGCAGTTGGTATATCCACTGTATCACAAAGCATGCTATCAATATGAGTAATAGTTGGGCGAGGAGGAGGTATTGGAGGTTCTTGAGATGTAGATGGCAATGGCACAGAAAGATCATTTAATGGTAAACGTGGGTCAATAAAAGTAGTCATTTTTGTGGTATGGTCCATAAAAAATACCTATAACATTTAAAAAGTTGAATACATATTTTATTTTGTTATATAAATTTCAYTTTGTTCTACTGCCTCTGACCTTTCCAGCAGCATCAGTTTTTGATGTCCATCCTCTAGGTAGTGTAATCCTTGTATTGGCAAACAAATTTAAAAGGCTAACCAAATCACTATGACTTTGATACCGTTGAAATAATGATGGATGATTTCGAATTTTAGGCACAATATATTTAAGCGATGATGAGCTATTATAAAGTGCTAAAGCTCTCTATAAAAAATGTTAAAAATTAATTCATATACTAAGGAAAAAAAAAATACTTGATCATACTTGATTTTGCTGCAATAAAGTTGGAAATTCTTTTTTACTAATAAACTGTAATGCTACACATGCATTATCTCTAAATTTAGTTTTAGACGAATCTAATCTTAATGAATCGGTTCTAGATAATGTATTACATTCTGGTTCTTGTGAAATAGTTCTACGTATACTTTGGTACCTAAAATTTTATTACCATAGATATATTATTAWTCACAGTTAAAACAGAAGCATAATATAAGTAAATTATTATTGGATAGGTGAAATGACCTTCTGTCTAATTGTTGCCTTTGTTGATAATAATGCATATCACAATTTTGCCGAGAAGGACGATGCCAAGTAGTTGTCCGATTAAGATGGTCTATATAAAATATTCTACCATGACTATCCATACGAGCTTCCCAATCTAATTAAATAACAAGAATATAGGTTATTAGTTATACATATTATAAAATAATTAAAATCTAGTACCTGGAGGAAGTGTGGTATCTCTTCTACTTTCTGATCTTCTTGGCTTTCTATTTTCATCAGTTAACATCATAAATCTTGAATGTTCTCTTGTATCATTTGATAATGTTTTTTGAACAGAACACTTCATGTTAACATGATCTCCAGCTCGACTAGAAGCTCTAGTTAAAGGCCTATGAGTTTTAGACTCAACAATAGGAGACACATTGGTAAAATCAGAACTATCCATTAGACCTTTAGGTTTTAACTGACGTAAGGCATCTAACGGAATATTAGAAGTTGGTGGCATCGCCCAAGTTCTCTCTAAAGGTTTATGTTTATAGGTTCGTGGAGGCAGAGGTGGAGGAGGGGAATCTGGAACAGGAGTATCTGACCAGATTTTAAGGTAATCATTGTTTTCAGCAACTGGTAGTTTTTTATCAACATGTTGAACATGAACATCAACTTTAGTTTCAATAATTTTAGTTCYAGATTGTGTTAATTTGTCTGAATTTTCACATGTTTCTGTACAGTTTTCACACACTTTGGACTGTTTAGCATTCTCGTTACTGTCTGCTGCTAACTTATACACWGAGTCAAGGTCAATCGGCTGTGATTCAGCCAGACAAGACAAGCCGCTGCAGTAACGGAAGCAAAAGAATTTCCCATATCCTAAGAATATATTTTTGATATTATAAAAGAAAATGCAAAAATAAATGTTCATAATAAATAATTGTACCTTCATTCATGGATGAGCAGTGTGGAAAATCAACTAACCACATTGCACTTCTTTTTGACGTGCCATTGACTGGTTGTGTATATCGAGCTATACAGGTCATAACATTTTTCTCATCTAGAAAAATATAAAGATTACTCAGCCACTTAAAATTTAAATCTTGAAAAATGTATGTTTCTATAAATGTTAAAAATTAAATTTTTTGTATWCTTAATAGTAAGTACAGTCATAGATGTTGAATAATACATTAATCATACTTTTATCTATAAATCATTTGATGATATCTAGTATACTTTTTTCATTTTATTTGATTTATTAATAAAAATACCTTATGAACATCTATTAATTTAAATTGTGAAAATACACTTTTATTAATAACCTTTGTACTTTTATTAATTAGAAATAAGTAAGAGAAAAATGTATGATACATCGAAACTATGTTAAATATGTTGATATTGATGTTTGGTATGGAGATAGCATGAACATCAAGAAAAAACACAGGCCACATTTTTTTCAAATTAAATCTAAAGGATACGACACTAAATAACCACTATAATGTGATGATATTTCACGTCAAATAATAGATCAGTCACAATCCCAAAGAATCTTAGACACTAAACATCAGAATATCTTAAGGCTAAGATGCTAAAAGTTCCACAGCAACAATGGTATCAATTAAATGCTGAACAACAAAGAAGTCATGATTTAAATGTAAGATATGGATTGCCACATTTAATTATGACAAAATAAATGTACTGTATTTATCATTGAAGAAGAATGGATAAAATTTATAATTTTTATGTGTTTAGTTGAAAGAAGAAACCAAGAAATAGTAAGTATATGTTGATATGGTGACAAAACCTCACATTACTAGATGAAGCAAGCGGAACCCTTAAATACTCTACTTCTAAACAAATATAATAAATGTAATGAAAAGTGATTTTTTTTTAAGAATTGGAAAATATAATTTATCCTTTCTGATGACTTAATTTGATGTAAATACTGAAGTCATAATATGCCTAACTTACCAACTCACCATAAAAAAACTACTTATATTTGAGCAAAGGTCGTATCTAGTATAATACTATTACAGTGAAACCTCCTTTAACGGACAACTCTCAATAGTGAACACTTCCAAATAACAGACGGAATTATAATAGCGGACGATGTTTGACCGAGAGTGTCCGGTATTTAGAGGTTTCACTGTATACATAAATAAGAATTATTTTCATAATATAAATATCATATTGGAACATACATCAATTTTTAATTTAAKTTTCTAAGTATTTCAATAAAAATTTGCTTTAGACAGTCAGTTAAACTATAGGTTATATTTTTTTTATAAAAAATGGCATCCACTATGATTACTTAAAATATTAAGTATATTGATTAGTTTAAAAATAGAAATTGTAAAATACGTATCTTAATTAAATAAAAATAATTTTGCATATATATATCCACAGTACAGATTTTAATATTATTTATAATT